TTTGTCAGTGGGCAAACGTACAAAATCAGCAGGGGATTAAATACTTTTTTTCCCTCACTGTACGTGACTTTACCGAAAGAATCAAAGAGTATACATTTAATTACACTTGTTTACCAAGGAAAGCCGCACCGCGGATTTGGTGGCATCCACACATTTCTTCTCATGAACTCTGTTAAGCGCCTTTCATGCCGGGCTGATGCAGCAGTGTTCCCGCTCAGGGCTGACCCAGCTGCCAATGTTACTTAACTCGCGCACGCTGGCATCGTTCGTTCAACGTGTTTGATAACGCAATGCATTCGTAACAAAGCACGAGCGATCCTTGCCACAATACCTGCAGTCAAAATGCAAACAAAAACATACTATGATAGTTTATGCATTGTCCTTGAAGCTGATTGGTCCACACCAAGGGACGGCTTTCTTTTGAGCCTCGATCCAATTGGTGTGGACCAATCAGTTTCAAGGAAAATGCCAATATATTATCATAGTATGTATTTTGTTTGCATTTTGACTGCAGGTATTGTGGTTAATGCAGACATGAATCCTCGTAAAAAGGTTTCAGTTTTGTTGCCAGAAAAAAGGGGAAAAACCCTATTATTACATTTTGGTACTGGCAAAGGAGGTCTAATGATGGAGTCAGGCCAATGTTGGTGAATTACCCGATGCATACAGTATAGACAAAAAACATATTTCTATAGGAAATGGGCCCTAGTTCGGCACAGACTTACATTTCCTTAGACGTGTGCTATATCTAAATGTGCAATATTCGACTGTCCGGCTTCCGAGGTGGTGAATGTTTTCGCGATGAAAGTTTGACACCAGCTTTGTTGAGCTCCACATGCAGAGAGGCCAAAAATGGCAGCAGACAGTGGAGTCCAAACTTAGTTATTACATGCAAAGTATGGGGACGAGCACAATAATTAAAGAGACTAGCAGAGATAGGTATTCCAGGATTTAGAAACATAGTTGGACTATAGCTTGAGAAAACGTTTAAATCGATTTCATAAATAATGTACGTGTTTACTGTATCACAAACTGTGTGCAAAAACTTGCAAGCCGAGAGTATACCAAATTAATCACGTTGTTTATTTATTTTTTCACTTTTTACCACAAAATTACATTTAGACAGCATTGATAACGAGCAATAATTTAAATGACAAAGGTAACAGAATCAAATGAATATGGCTTTTTTTTGCCAAAAGTGCACCAATCTGTGGATGCAGGTATAACAAACAAAGCAGCCTCCGACTCACACGTCGAGGAAGCACATCTCCCACACCATCGCTCGTATCCTGCAAAAAGGCACGCGCGATCATCTAAAGCTTTCTCGTAATGCCGTGCGACATGTTCGGTTGAAAACACCCACACACCCACCCACGCGTCATTACACCCACAGCAAGATTAATTGTTCAGAACTCGTGTCCCTTTTTCTCTCCGCATTTCTTTAGGTTCTAAGCGGTGCTCTGGCCTACGGCAAGTCGCACGTCCAATCGTTACAGGGAATTAATAACAAAAGACTAAAACCCAGCAAAAAATGATTTCAGCAGCTCGTTTATTACCGTCTCACACTTTCCAATTTTAAAATTAAACATTAGGATGTAATAAATAACAATTAATTGAACTTTTTTACACTTAAGTTTCGTTGCTGCATTAACCTGGGGGTTTCACTGATACACTGATTGTAGAATAGTCGACGAACACCTACAATGGATGTAGAAAATCATCACAGCACATTTGTGGGGTTCATGTGGTTTCTCTAAAGTTGTCCGTCTAATCAAGAAGTAAACGTGCCGATGGATGCTTAATGCACGAATGGTTAGAGCTGTTTCTTTTTAAAAGCTCGGTGAACCACTTGTGCAAGGTTTATTCACTCAAGCCGGTCACCTTACACGTTAAAATGCAAGCACCGATAGTAATACTGTTTGTTTTTTTCGGTAAAGTCACGTAGGTAAAATAAAACTAAATTAAATCACGACATTTCGGAGGCAACACAAGCTTCCGTCTTCAGGTGGAACAGTCACAGCAGAATATCTGTCAAGTGGACAGCTCTGAGACAGCCGGGATTATATATACAGGTTAAGGGGGGGAGGGAGGAGCCGAGAAGGGACGTGGGTGGGGGGGGGGCTGAGTTAAGCCGCCTTTTGTTATGCTGCAGGGGGTTTGGGGGGAGAGATGTACGAGTACACGCAACTCACTGAAAGCAATGGAAATGGCTGTACAATTATTAGGCAGCCAAACTTTGACTTGGTTTATAACATCTTTTCAATGGTTGATGCTGTAGGGGGGGGGGGTTCGGGGGAAGAGATGCCCGAGTACATACAACCCACTGAGAGCAATGGCTATACAATTACAAGGCAGCTAACGTTTGACTTGATTTATAACATCTTTCCAATGGTTGCTCAATTTGAAACCATCCTCTCGGTTGAAGTTGTGTCTGTTTGTATATCTGGATGGCCTCATGGACAAATCTCTGGTAATAACCGGGAGGTTTGCAGAGAACTTTGGTATCAGAGAAGACAATGTCATGAGAACCCGCTGTGTTGAAAATGATCAGCCACGGCCGAAGAATTCGTTCTGCCGTGTTTAAAATCTGATTTGTGCTCGCGGATTCAGTCAGAAACATGTCGTTTCGTCTCCCCGATATAGCAGTCAACGCAGGTACAACTCAATTTGTAAACACCGGGGTACTGTAAGTCAGGAATGACATCCTTTACGGATAAAATAAGATCACGGATTTTGTGTATTGTATTGAACCGGACCTGGATCTTGTTTGTTGAAAATTTTGGAAATCGAGAACTAATTCTTCGGCCATGGATGATCATTGTTTCAACACAGCGGGTTCTCATGACATTGTCTTCTCTGATACCAAAGTTCTCTGCAAACCTCCCGGTTATTACCAGAGATTTGTCCATGAGGCCATCCAGATATACAAACAGACACAACTTCAACCGAGAGGATGGTTTCAAATTGAGCAACCATTGGAAATATGTTATAAATCAAGTCAAACGTTAGCTGCCTTATAATTGTACAGCCATTGCTCTCAGTGGGTTGTATGTACTCGTGCATGTCTTCCCCTGAACGCTCTACAGCCTCAACCATTGAAAAGATGTTATAAACCAAGTCAAAGTTTGGCTGCCTTATAATTGTACAGCCATTTCCATTGCTTTCAGTGGGTTGCGTGTACTCGTACAATACTCCCCCCGAACCCCCTGCAGCATAACAAAAGGCGGCTTAACTCAGCCCCCCCCACCCACGTCCCTTCTTGGCTCCCCCCCCCCCTTAACCTGTATATAATCGCGGCTGTCTCAGCTGTCCACTTGACACAGATATTCTGCTGACTGTTCCACCTGAAGACGGAAGCTTGTGTTGCCTCCAAAACGTCGTGATTTAATTTAGTTTTATTTTATTGTACCTACGTGACTTTACCGAAAAAACCAAAGCGTATGAATCCTTGCAGTCACGAAAGCTTCAAATCTAGAATCACCGATAGTAAACCTAGATGCGCGCGGCTCTAAATTCTGCTTGTCAAATGCCACATATCTGCCCTGCACTGTTTGAAAAGGGGGCAAAGTGAACCGCTGGGTTTTCCCCAGATTTAAATACTTAATGAAAAAAAACTCCGATTATTTCCGAAGCACGAGGGGCAGTCCAAAAATGATAATAGGATTTTAAAAGTAGGCACTTGCTCCCACTAATTCATCTACTGTAAATGTTTATGTGGCCTATACTTAAATTATTTAAAGAACACATTTAAATCATTCCGATCGCTACATTACAATTTATCCAAGTTGTGTAGTGGTTAGATAATCATAATTTGAATTTGTAATGTCAATTTCATCCGTAGATCACAATGCGCCGTGTATGGAAAGCAGGTAATAAAACAGAACCAGGGTAAACGGCTAAGACTAGGGGGCAAAGGTCAAATTAAAACGAGGTGTTTTTTTTAAACAGGTTTAAATAACTCTAATGACTGCCTAATTACCAAAGTATCCATAGTCTGGGAGCAGCGCTAGCAAAAGCCCAATAACCGCTATCGGAACGTTGCCAGAAGTCCCAGTTAGAGGTTAATTCAGCCGTTCATCCCCATGGGATTGTCAACACCGACTCGTAAAATGTAATCCCGGTTGTAGGAATGTGGAGTTACCACCATTAACTTAGGGCTGTAAACAGATTAGTGCCTCGTCATGCTTTCAGTGGGAAAAACAATTGAACGTTTGATTAAAATGATCAAATATTACTGGGTGATTAAATACAGGACCGATGGGCTGGTGCAAGGTTGTGTAATCCCATTAAAAAAACCTAACTGTCCCTCCATCTGCAACACCTTACGAGGTTTCCCGTTCACGGACAGGAAAAATCCAACGTGAAACAAACGCGACGTAAAATTGCCAACAAAACGCTGCCTGGGCCCTAAGTTGTTTCTTAACCGTAAGTAAAGGTCCCATTGTCCAGCAAATTTGCGAGTCGCAATGAGTGCCCGTTACGAGTCCGATACAAGGAGGGCAATAAGCAAAGCCAGCCGGTTGAGACAGATGCAAACAGGGTGCAGTTTGGTCGTAGTAGGAAACGCACATTAGCACAACGGGTAAACATTTGGTATTGTACAACGCCTGTCATTACAACAAAGCACCTGGTGGGTGCAAATAACAGGTTAAAATTCATCTTGTAGTGACAGTTCTCCATTCCTCAGCACTGATGCAAACTGGCTTAGCAGATATTATTTTTGAGAAGGGTAGCAACAAAACATTAAATGTAACCACATGATCAACTCTTACAGACGTTACTTTAAACACAGGAATTTGAAACTACGATTAAAATAGGATGTTTTGTTTGTTTTCGGGGCACGTGTGATTGGGGTGTACAATGGTATAGATGAAGTTAAAATGTTGTTACAAAGTTTTTAAATGGGTGAATGGTGTAATAATTTGGTGCTCTATGTAATGCCATCACAGCAGCCACTAAACCTCCAAAAGATTATCTGTCAGCAATCTGTCATTAGAAACTGTGGATTTACTGAAAGCTTAGCATGTATTATGTCCTGGCTTAGTGTCTGTTGGTAAAAATTACACACACGAGTGCAACAAAAGCATGCATAATAGAACGTGTGAATTAAAACCATTTTGTACATCACTTTAGCATAAAAAATGTTACGTTTAACAATTTTAAAAAAACATAGTAACAACCTAGCATGAATTGTGAACAATTTTCACTGATTGTGATACACAGAAATGTATAAACCAAACATTATGCTCCAATAGTAACTGTAATTGATGTGAAATTATATTATCCAAGTTGACCAAGGAATGGTTTGCAAGGCATGCATATGTAAAGGGATGGAGGCTCATTCACCGCTGCAATGTATCATTTAATGTCACCAAACAAATGAATAAATACACCTTTTTACCGTCAAATGCACTTAAGGGCCCATTCATTGCTGCCGACTTGACGTAAGAGTTCAAAGCAACATACCTGAACATTCAGTAATCGATAGGCCATTTACAACACCAACTTCACCTTGCAGCAAACTCATTCCGCGTTTCAATTGATGAATTAAAATGCTAGGGAAACCGTTTCTGGCTTTTAATATATCTTGCCAATTAAGGTATTTTGCTATGCTCAGTGGTACATCTAAAAATTTAGAAAAAAATCACCAAGGACCCCTAACAAATCACGCAGCAGGAGTGGCATGTGCTGTTTTGTCATACGAGTGGCTTTTAGTTTCTTAAATATAGGTGCACTGTAATAATTTAGAGATATTGAACAAGGTCATTAAAGCTCTAAGTGCTCAGAATGTTATGCAAAACAATGAGAATTTGCCTCGTTTTGCATTCTATATTTTAGAAATCAGCCATTTAAAATCTGAATTAAATTTTCTACTTTGAGTGCTTAAAATGGTCAATTTCATTTGCTGTTTACTGCCCAACCTAACCTGCTATACCCATATATTGCACCAAGCTGCATCGCAGAATAAACATGCTTCTGCTGGTCAGAAGTGCAAACGGCGTGTGCTACTTGCGAGGCATTTAGGGTAGTGGCCCGACAATGAAAGGTGTATTTACACTGCCCAAAGCATATTTGGGATTTGGTTTGTCATGTTACCTGCCTAAAGCAAATGCAGCTCTTAGCCATTGGCAGTGAACCTATACAAGTGAAACCAGTTTAATGAATGTAGATGCACCATTTGCACCGTTCAGTGCCAGCCAGAAGCCCACTCCATCGACAGTTTAACTGTAACATTACCTATTATTGCCATGTAAAGCAGACGTCAAATATTTCATTATTGTGAATCCCGCCTGTACCTGTAAATGTTTCGCAGAATTTTAAGTGGAACACAACCTGGTGAATGTATTTGAGTTTAGAGATTGCGACAAAGCTTTCATAACTATTCCACAGAATTGCGGTACAAATCTCCAATTTTCAAAAAGTAATGATATACCCCTGCATGTGTGCCAGAGGAGATACCCTGTGTACCAAAGACGTGTTATGATTGGTCAAACAACCAAATGACAGATATTGGGATGATGCTCTGTGCATTGCTTCGGAATTAAACACTGCCATACACTGAGAGATGTGGGCCAAACTCTAAAAAGCTGTTGCAAAGCACTGCTCAATGTGAACAGGACCAATGTGACATCAGAACAATGTGAAACAGGATCAACGTAAATACGGTGTCCAGACCAAAAGTCTGCATTTAGAGTGGATGCCAGCCACCCGTGCCCCATGCAGTCAAGGAAATATATCTACATTTTCTGAAATCGCTAATGAAAAAAAAATGCACCCGACGACAAAAATAATCCCTGTGGGCGACATGCTGCTCTAACATGAATAAAATTGTGTTTTTCTTTTAAAGAAGTTTATTCAAAAATCTAACTGAAAATGTAATTGCATAGATCCCTTTCAAATGTTAGTGGAAAGTTAACCCAGTGAATATCATTAGGTCACTCGTCATGCTATTTGGACATTCAATTCAAAGGGAAATTAAAACTAGGCATTACTTTTCACCTGGAATGATTTAGGGAAGGTGTTACTCGTTTTATTTGCATGTCCCTTTAATTCACCAACATTCGCTCACTCACTTCATCAACCCACACAGCCAGAACATTTGAGTGCAGCGCAAACATTTGTCACAGCCACGATGTACTCGGATAAAATGATGACAACATAAAAAATAACGTTACACCATAAACTCAACGATGGTCCATTTCAAGTCCAGTGATGTGGTGGGCATCACCCTATTCATATACAGTTTTTCAAACCAATGCCAGGTAGTTTAACATTCAGAGGAAACTGCAGCAGTATGCTAAAACAGCGCCAATCATGGCTACATTCACCCATCAGTTCTCCTCTTAAACAAGCGGAAGCAGCCAGCTTTGGTCATTTTCAGAAGGCCAATCCCACCACGCACCAATCACTGGTCAGTTTATATTCCTTTATTACTTAAGTTACTATTTTTCACAGTGTTCAAGTGGCACTCAAACAGTTGTGCCTTGCGTTTGTTTTGACCGAAAGGTGTCACCCCGCCCTGTAGCAGCCACCACCCCTTGTACTGTGGATTCACGATGGATGATGTAAAGCCCTTCGGAGCCCTTCCAGCTGCCCCCTCACCAACCGCATCACCCCCTATCGCCGCCCCCACCTCCCAAATTCCACGCTTCTCGCCCTCCCCCCCCCCACGTATATGCCTTGCAGTGGTGTTAAATGGCTTGCTTGAGAACCGGGAAACCTGTGGACACAGGGGACACTGTTAATTCAGTGGAACTCATTGCGAGTAAAATTAGAGAAACCTAAAATGTAAAGGACAATGAGGCTTGGAAGCTTCCGTGTGTAAGTGTAGGTCACTGTGTGCTAGCACCACAGCTAGATGTGATTGAACATGGCCAACAATTACCATCTAAGGCTTTCTTGCAAATGTGCTGCATGCACCTCAGAATCGTGAACTGGACCAGTTTAGTTTTATTTTTGATTTACTCATTAGCAATACCTCCAGCTTCCACTGTAGAATTGTTACCATTTCAAAACGGGGGTTACAGCAAGCACTTTGTTTTATCCTTCTGGAGTGCACTGAAATGCCTCTTCGAGATGTATGCAGAGCAACACAGTAATATGCTTGCTATCATTAATTATTTTGGAGTGTCTGCCGACAAAAAGTGCATTTTTGACAGCTGGAGGGGGAAGCACAGAGAACTTGTTTAAAAGCCAGTTCTTCATGAATACATTCCCTGCGGCTCTTGAAGTGCCGACAAATATTTTCAAATTTCAAGGGCACTATATTGTGTTAGGACCTGTACAATTTGTGCCCAGAGTGCTCTTGTGAGTCCCTAATATATGGACTGTGGGTTCAAGCAGTACTGTCTATTTCAGCTGGTAAATAATGTTGGCTGCAGTTCTGAGCGATGGCATATTAAGCAGGGCGTCTCTTCTAACCAAATGCCAGCCTTGCTATGAATCCATGCGCTCACCTGCAGGGAAATAATAATGAGCTGTCCTGATCGATTTGTCAAGAGAAAATAAACTGTTTATGACTGTAGAATTGTTATATTTAAGCTTGTATTGTCGATTCACCAATGTAGTATCTAAACAAGCCTACGTGTTAAACTGATCTAAACATGTTAATTACAAACGGTACAAAACTGTAAATGATCTCATCCCAGGCAAGGGAACTTAAGGATAATTATTGGACACAATATTGTAAAAAATGCACCAACCATTGCAGTATTAGCATTTCAGTCTTAGACAAGTCAATGACAACCCCTGGAAATTGATTCAAGCCTTAGTCACTGTTGTCATTAAATGCTATTAACATAAAAATAATAACAAGAGCAATGGACGATAGATAAAAAATTAAATCCGCAAAATAGAACTTGACAAAAGTTTCACACATTGTCAGACGAGACTAAGACTGGAAGTACTAAAATGCTGACTAAATTGTCACTGCACCATTGTTCTCCCAACAGCCAGCTTTACAAATTATTCATGATCATTCATCCGAATGCGAGTAATATACTGGCCTCATTACAAGCGGCCCAGTATTTTTACTCTCACGCTGGCAATGTAACTTGACAACACGGCACTTTTCAAAGCGCTGGTACTATAGTGCTGCGGGAAAGCTTGTATAAGCCTGACAGTGCCGTGCAGTCTGCTGAAAATAAGTTGTCTTGTAATACTCTGTGCCACGGTTGTGTTGGCACTCATTGAGCTTTCTTTTATTTCTGTGTGCATTCAATAGGCTGCCTTCGTTTTTTTTTTTAAAGATCACTGATTGAAAGGGTCACACATTAATATTCATCCCAGCGTGCCGTCAAACAATATTTCGAGGGCAACAACATTTTCATAATGCAGACAAGATATTCTCACTTTGTAAGTGCATTTTGAAATAATAATAATCTTTGTAGAATACAGGATATTAACATGAATAATTGACATTTGAAGATTTTTTTAAACAAAAATTCGACATGCTGGTACTGGTGGTAAATGTTCAAACCCAAGAAAAACTAAGTAAATTAACATTTTATTGCTCGACTGCTTAAGTATGCAATGCACATTCAGATTGGCAGATTGTCTGTGATAAAACGAGCACAGGATCCTGTGTGTTCCAATCCATCTCCATGTGGGGAAAGAATCTTTAAGTGGGGAAACCTATTACAATAAATCAACATCAACTGTGCACGTGGATCCAATTTCTCAATGCCTGCTGTAAATGTCTAGGCATGGCTGAACACTGCTCATCTGAAATGAATTTGCAGCCAACGCTGGTTGACAGAAGACATTTCAACTTGCAGGCTCCCAATAGAGAATGGAGACCCAGATCTACCATTAGACAGGGCTGAGTGTGATTAGCCATGGAAAAATACTAATTTCTACAAGTGGTCTCTGAACATGCAGTGGAATAATTTTCCACCTAATTAGTGGGCAGGTAGAGCAAACATATCGCAGTTAGTCATGTATGAATATGCAACCGGCAATCACAATGATAGTGACAACCTATTTTTAGCACTATATAGTACGCGTGTATACGAACACAACCACAGTGGTGATGCAGTGCACTGTGTTAAAATCCTGCCAACATTGTTTCAACTACCGGCCATGCAAATTTTTACTTGCCATGAACTTCCCCATTGTCAAATCAGCCTTAAAATGTGTATACTGGGTGCAATGTATAAACATTAGCAAACTGTAGAAATAAGCAGTCGTGCTGGCCAAACCATTTCGATCTTAGCAGACACTTGTGACCTGTCCCTATGATTTAATAGGCTAAACAGGAGACCTGTGTCTTCCTAAGGGTGTGCATATGACTCAATCTGGAGACTTGACATGCTACAATGAAACTGCCAGACACATGAGCCATTAAAATTTCCTACCCTGAGGGCACCTTGCATTCTGACTTGTTTGCATTAAATCCCTGCTGGTGGTGAACTCACATTGTCAAAGGATGCTTTCTTGGCTGGGCTTGAGGAGGATGAAGCCAGGAGGTAGTAGGTACACTAAGGGCAGGTGCAGAGGCTGGGGAGGCAGCAGAATGGGTTGTCAAGGGGTGTCAGCGGCGGAGATGGCAGGCAGAGCGGTGCGGACGTCACACAGCACAGGCCACAGCCTCGCGCACGCGAGCCTCCAGCGTAACCGAGTCGGGCCGCTCCTGTGGGTGCGGCGACAGCATCTCGCGCACCAGCACCGCCATCGCCGTGCTCATGGGGCTGTGGCGGCGCCGTGGGATGTGCAGCTCCGTGCGCGGGTTCTCGAGCAGCGCCTCGCCCACCGGCACGATGCGCCGGCCCTGTGCGGCACGCACACGCGCACGTTAATGGCAAAATCCGAGCGAGCGGCAGATGCCGGGACCAATCTGTCACCATGCCAACTGTTGATCTTTAAAGCTTTGCATGATGGAGCCTGGTTGATACCCAGATGCCAGACTGCCCAGGAATACCAAACATTGCAAGTTTTGGCTTGAGATGGCATCGCAGCCATGGATTCTTTCATATATCTATGCAAAGCTATGAATGTTACCCACTCGTATACTTGGGTTTTCTCTGAGGCCACTCAAGGACCAAACACTCCACCAGGGTATTGGTGATATATAATTCAGACTCTGATAAAAAGTGAAGGACATTATTATTCTGCTAAGATGAGGCCATGAGTGCCCATGACAATGAAAACACCACACATTCCCATAGCTTTCTTCCTTCTGCTGGTTTGCTAAGCTAATGCACAGAAGCTCAACCACTTAAGGTTTGCCAAGTCTAATCAATACCATCTTGGCCTCAAGTCTTCCCCTTGGTCAGCAACCTCTCTGCCACTCCAGCACTTGAAATGTTGTTAATTGTAGTTCCCGTCCCGGTAACCTGCCCACCTTATTTCCTGCACGTACCCACCCATCACAACCGTCCGTCTCTTCCTGATATCATCCAAAATCTATTCTTTCTATTCTAAACGCACCCTTTCCCTATCTTACAATCCTCGCATCATTTGCATACACATACATTCAAAGGAGAGAAACCCATTTCTATTTTACATAGCAATATATTTGCAGCAGTAGGTACATTTGCAAGAGTTGATCACGTATCAGTGGCTAATGCTTGCCAATGACACAAGAGCAAGGCAGCAAAGGTTTAATTTTTAAAGCTGCTCAGTCATTTGTGTGTGGAATTAGCTGAGCATGTTATGTTAAATCAATCTGGAGATTCCTGTGATTTAATACCATTTTATTGTATGAAAAGTGGTGCAATGAAGCTAACATTATTCCCAGGGGACTGTTTTTTTAGTCCCATTAGATGGGGAAAAAACCCACAAGTAGGCCAGGACATAACTATTACATAACACACACTTGGATGAAGGGCAATTAGGATGATACTGCATTGCAGGAAAACGGCAAGTGTCTTGCAGCCTTATAAAAGCAAATATAACCACAATGTATTATGGAGCTAAAAATTATTGTTAAAATATGCATTTATGAAAGTATTAAAAGCAGTAAAGTAGCATGAGAACAAGCTTTCACGCTACAGGAGGAACACTTAAAAATAAATGTCATAATTTAAATTACACTATTTTTTTTATAAAGCACTTAGAACAGCGATTCTCAAAACATAGGTCACACCCCTGAAAGACATGTCGCAGGCTGTGGCATCAATACCATGCAGTTTAGAATGTGCTCAATAACTTGGTATAGTTTAGAATGTGCTCAATAACTTGGTATACGTGGTACGAAAACGTGTTGTTATTAAACGTGCTCCATCTTAAGTTTACTGGAAGGAATAACATTGAAGAATGTACACAGCAATTTTAGTATTCCCCTGTGGATCTATTAATTGTAACAGAGAAAAAGTAGATGATGAATAGCAAATGTTGAGTGTGGGAACATGTGCCACTCATAAACTGGCATGTACTTTGGCCAAAAAAAAACTAATTTAATGTAACACGTTTTCTTAATTTTATTCAAGTAATGAAAGAAATACTTTTGGGTTTCTTTTCCACTAGTTTCCAATAGTAGTGCCAATCACAAATACAGCAGATATAAAATTTCAAATACATTTTCACCCAATGTCAAAAGTATTGATTACATATTCAGTTTATTTCGAGTGGCATATTCAGTAGTCCAAGGGTTTATAATACAAAGCTCCCAAAAGCATTTACGATTTTGGCTTTTGATTAGGAAGCCTACGTCTTAAATTGATTTAGATTGTTGCTGAAAACACATGCAATGCTCATGGCAGGCAATGACATTATTATCGTGCTGCAATGCAAGAAGAGAAGATACACATACTTCAGAGATATCAACATTCCGTCAAAATTAATGATGCCAGCATGGTGTTTTCACATGGGAGGACTGTCATCAGTCTTTTTGGTTACGTTTTGGAATGGTGGTTATGATTGTGGGTTATAATTATTAAATTAACAAACGGTTTTTTTAATCTACAATGATTTTGCTGTACCTGCCATGCAATTAGTATTTGGGGATCAAGAGAGATTTTATACATTTCACAAATGCCCACAAATTTGCACGACTATAATTTTTATTTAAAGCTTTCGTGACTGCAGGGATCCATATTCTTCGTTCTTTCATAATTGATGGTTTACAGCAGGATACAGAGTTAAGGAAGATGCCCTGCCAAGACATACCTTCATCAATACCAATTAAAATACATAACCTGCATTATTGTGTTTGCAGGAAAGGCAGTGCATGTGACTCGTTTTACAAGTTGGTTCCTGAATTTATTTTAATATTACATGATACCTCGGAATTATTAGACACAGAAGAAAAGTGAACTATGACAAATATTTGCCAAAACATTCACTTCAGCCATTTTGAGTAACTTTAAATACATACTTTACATTTATGTATAACTTAATTAAGTGAGCTAGAACATCATGGGTTATTATGTCCCACTGGCTGGCAAATACTACATTTGGATTTGGCATCCAATCTTGCAATGCACTTGGCGAGGTGTTTGTAAAGAGTTGGGAGGTAATTAAGCGAAAAACACAACGTGGCTTTCTTATCATTCAAGAATGTGGCCAACGCACGCTTTTGTAATAGGAGGCCCATGGGTGCCACAAGACCGACTTTCATGTGTGGCAGCATCAGCCAGTCTTCCACACGTGTGCGCGCAAAAACAGAGTTCGGCAGCACATAGCAATCTTGCACTGTGCCTCACCAATACAATTAAGCTCAACTTTACTATTTTTTAGCACATCCCCATTAACTTGGCTCTATGACAGTCAAGTGAGGTACAATGGTGAAATTCAATTGAACTTATATTAAAAAAATCACTTCACTTTACATCCAGCCATAGTGAAAGTAGAGACTATTTGCCTAATGTAGTCCATAAAACATCACCAAGGTTGGCATTGACAATTTCACATGGGTCATTCAGCACCTGGGTGAGGCCAGATTGAATGCATCTGCAAGGCAACAGAATTTTTTTTACAGAGCCCAAGCAGTTGGTCTGATGCATTCATTTATAAACTGGGGTTTACACATTAAATTTTACAACTAAATGTAAACTGCCATGTCAGCATATACACAATACAATGTGATAAGCAGTGGTTAGCGTGCACACCAATTCAACACTGCAAGTGAGAGATCAACTTAGCCTATTTCAAGGGTGATAAAACGAGTACAAACCTTCTGGAAAGTCAATGGCGTGCGTTCCATAAATAATTTCCCCATAATAAGAATGTGAAATTTCAACATGAGATGAATACCACCCTCATATCACTTGACCTAAAAACCTCAACTTATTTCACATACAAAATACACTCAAACTGCCAGACATCTGTACACAGAAATATGCTAGCATACGTAAAATAAGCACGTAGTTAAACAGTGGCGCACTCCTGCACAAAACTTTGATGCGCTCCTTAGATGCTGCGAAAACCGAAAATCCTACGTGAAACATAGCAACTTCATTGCTTTCGTTTTCAAATGCAAACCCACCCTATTTCGCCATGTCTGTAAATTGTAGTCCATTGTACTGGTGTAGAAAAAGTTATATTAATGTTCGCCTTCCCATTGCCAAGAACTCCTTCAGCCAATCACAATGCTGTGGCATGTTCATAAAAATTAAAACTTATGTAAGTTGGTTACCAACATTAAACTTAAGTGTTGCAGACCACAATAAAAAGCAACACGGAAACACACAATAAAGCAAGTATCATTACTGCACCATTTAACTTGAGATTTATAATGACATGAGTGACGTCCCTTGAATAAACATAACCCCAGCCTGGAAGCGACCCCTGCTGTGTGAAAGCGTTAGGTGTGTGTGGCGTGTACCTGGCGCACGTAGGAGCCTAACAGCTTGCGCTTGGACTCGGCATCGGTGAAGGTGATGCGTTCCAGCATGGCCCACACAATGATGCCCAGCGCAAAGATATCGGCCTTGGCAGTGAAGTGCCCCTCCCACACCTCGGGTGCCATGTAGAAGGAAGAGCCGCATGCAGGAGACAGCCACGCGCGATTCACAGACTCGCCACTGCTCAGGCCCTGCGCAGTGCCCACAAACACCCACTCTTTTTAGTGGAATGAGGCCTAATAGAGGGAAGCCAGGTGGCTCACGCTGCTGTGTCAGAGCTTCGAGCCGTGTATGGATTATTACATTCATGACAACATGTATGGAATCACACATATACAAATGTATTGCTTTTGATTATCATTATGTGAACGCACAGAAAAAGCAGTACAAACAAGAGTGGGAATACAAACAACGGACAGAACAAGGCCATAAAAACCAGACAGGACAAACAAAATGTTAATTTTGTATAATTTTGTGACCCACAAATCATTATGTATTCGCCCATATGCCTACTAGTCTACCTGTGATTACATCAGGATTGTGGCATGTCACGTTGTTTTAGAGGATTTCACAGAGTAGTGACAGTGTTATAACAATATAACATGACTAGAAAATATGTATATGTATGGGGAAGACCCAGGAATACTCCAGATATTACTCGCCATTGACGTTAACCATGGCCTGAATTGAACCACAGGCTGCCAGGTTTATATTGGAGTGTTGCTAAGTGCTGCACACATCAGATACACTATACCTATACAGTTTATACACTTGAACAAATTGGCTCTCGAATCTGTCGCGTCATAAGCTGCATAAGTCGATCACAATTAATACGTAAACATTCACAAACGTGCGTGCACCTGCAAATGAGATTGAAACCTAATTCCATACACTGCACTTTCATCAGCTGCTATCAGCAACAATCCATTCCCAAGGAAGAAGCAATTGGACCCCTATATGTGCCAGCGATGGGGAGACATCAGCTGTCTACAAATAAAGTGTGCAGACAAAGCAGTTGGTGTTTACCCACAGACTCCACTGTACACTTACCTGACAAACTATGATCAGTGCATGAGCAATAACCAAAAACCCACACTTTAAAGCAATGCACAGGTAACAATAGACAGTTGCTGTAAAGAAAGAGAGGTGCCATCCACATGCTTGTCACTTTTGCACTTGGGTAATGGTGGCTATTGTTGATGTTGTTTATTTACGATTAAAGTAAGCCTCCGTTTGTTCTTGTAAAGCAAGCCTTAAACGTGTCATTACCAATAAGCAAAAGAAGTTCCAGTTGGGGGAAATTTGAGAATTCCAGCAAAGAGACCTCCGAAAGTGAAGTTTTGCCATTATATTAACAAGACAGCCAAATCAGCATGAACAAATTATCGTAACATATTGTAATTTTATTTTTTGCCACATTTTCCTTTATATATGACATTTGCATCATTATTGCCAATTTAATAAGGCGTCTGGTTTGGAGGAGAACGCTTTCCACATGTTGCCCCCTTTGAGTCTCGACAACAGACGCTGTTCTGGGCTCTGTGACAGAGCCCGGGGACCTGGCAAAAAGATGCTGGCCCACAACCAACACTGGCATCGGCCCTGCTCCTCTGTCGGGTCTCACACCTGTTTTTAGTTTATTCCCAATGGGGCACACTAATTTATCCCCTACAATTATATTCGACACGGCCGTGCTTAAAGGCCTAATGTGCTCCCATCATGAGCTTTATACGATGGCTGTTAGCTCAGTCTGACACCTAGAATTACCACAGCAGACCTTAATACCCTGTAGCATTATTTGCCAAAGCCACTGCGGCAGTACATTGTCCAAAATCTAAATGTTTAAAATAATTTTCAAATGTAATGTAACAAAAAGTGTTTTTGTTAATATTAAGTCATTAATATCTCTATTGTGACCAAGACATATTGACTGAACACCAAAAAGGGCACTGCACATTTATGAAATAAATACAAATCGGAGGACACAAAAAACGGTATCAAGGGATGGAATGGAACATGCCGTGCCCTGAAAAGAGCCAACCCTTACCTATGTGAGCCAGATAAAATTCAATCATTAAGTTCATTGCACTGGCACTGACAAAAGTGCTGCCAAAATGCAATAACCTGCCTTTGGCAGGGGGATTTCCAGTGATGGGACACATCTTGCGATTCCATTATGAGTGCATTTGTCCAAAGACACAAACACACCATGGCGAGTAAACAACACCAAGTGCTCGCACATTTTATGACGTGGGAGTAAAAAAAATATTTCCCCACACTCACCTGTCCTTGGCCAGCGAATATCTTGCTTAGACCAAAGTCAGCCACCTTAAGCACAGGCCGGCCAGAGTTCTCAGCCACCAGGATGTTGTCGGGCTTGAGGTCGCGGTGCACGATGCTGTTGCGGTGCAGGAAGGCGACAGCACGGCTGAGCTGCATCGCAAAGCTTGTGTTGAGCCAGTGGTCCGGCTGGCGCGACAGCAGATAGCCATTCATATCACCACCGTCACAGTACTCCATTACCAGCCACAGGTAGTAGGAGTTGCCCGGACCGAAGCAGCGCTCACCTGTGTGGTGACACAGGGAAGGGGAGGAAAATGAAATACAGTTAGCAATGCTACTGGCGTGCAAACATGAGCTCAAACAGCAGCAGCAGCTACTGCAGTTCACAACTAATGAGATGACCTGTGCCACCACCTGGTTCACGGAGGCCATATAGAGGTGAAGGGTCACTGGCAGGGAGTTACAAAACACATCTAACATGCAGTGCAAGTGCACAAGGCGATATAGAGATCATATACACACGACCACTTGCACGTCACAAGCATATGGACCATGTCACACAACACGCACACTAGCATATGGACTAACAACTTCATATTTCTTAACCTGAGCATAGTGTCGAAGACTGACCTTGCGTATCACAGATAAATGTGCACCCTTCCCCTTTGCAACCAGACTGTTATACAGCAGTGTAAATGGCGATTTACAGCAGTGTAAATGGCGATTTTTATTGTGTGACTGCCATGGTCGTACCAACTTTTTATTTAGCAAAGATCTATTTATATCCATACGTAGCATTGCTATACTTATGCCAATGGGTGTTCAACAAAGGGTGAATATCACAAAATAAAATTCAAATTAGATGTTTAGTCTTCAACAGATATGCAGATGCAAACAGCAACAGATGCATTTCACTACCTCTGCCATGTTAAATATTATAAATGGGAAACTGATGAACGCAGATTTCAAGTGCAAATACTAACAAGGGCAGTGAGAGGCCAATGCTGCCATGGTCCTCTCAAAGGAATAAATAAGCCTGGCCATCTGCTTTATTGCTGCACGTTGGCCCTCATGGGAACCTTTGTTCATGTGTGGCTGCACTGACATAATTCCACTAAGTCCAGTTGTGCTGCAATTGCACCAGCATTTGCCAACCCATGCAGTTTACATGCTGTTATATTCTTCTGATTTTATTACCTTCAAATGTCACGGTACAGCATTATCTGGTGGGTACCTATTTAAATGGGCCAAAATGTAGGTTGTTGCCATCAAAGATAAATTAACAAATTGTGTGCTATGTAAATAGAAAATTAAGAAAAGGTATTTATGAACAGATTTATGAACACATTGACATAGTATTTCGTGTACACTAAATTACTTAAGCTTGAAAAACTTACCAAAGTTGTGTAAAGAGAATAATAGTGCATCTTGCCTCCATATCTGTATAAATACTTTCATAAATATATATTTTTAAAAATGTGTGATTACCTCACTTAAATATTCGTGAATAAATGTGGCTAAGAATAGCTATAGTTTAATACGGAAAAAAGTATTTCCATTTAATTTGTGTAGCAAAGTAAAATAGTTGTGGACTGAGTATCAGGATGTACTGCAATGTAATCACATTAATCTACAATAAATGGAATGTTCGTTAGGATCTAAATTGCCCAACTGCAGCTTGTTTACAGTTTGTAAGGGGATGTCTCCTTCAAAGAATGACACCTTCAGCATGTTGGTAAAGTAATAAACAGTTAAAATAAAAAAAACAGGTAAAACGTTAAAATAAGCACTCTTTTTCTGCAAACAATAAAAACAAGCCCAAACACTTGCTTTGACGAAGCAGTGTAATATAAATATACATAATTTATTCTGTATTCAAACTTTCAGCTTTGTCGATTTTGGGGAAAAACCTCTACCGAGCCAAAGTGGTATGCTGTTGCCTTAACATCACGATCTTTTAAGACCTTCACAGCCATTGTGCCCTGCTTCATGGGAAATACAAGTGTTCCATTAACAGCTCCGCTTACTCTATGCAATGTCATCACATGCCAATGTGTAGAATTTCAACACACCTGGGTTTAAGTAAACATATATGATGTAACTTTAGTTGAATTGTGACTGCACCTTTAACTTTGAGGAGATATGGAATTGTATACGAGCATAATTAAACAAACCACTATTTGTCTACTAGGTTGCTGCCTGCCTCACCTTGCTGCTTTTAAACACTGGGCAAAGCCAGGTTTCTCTTTTTGGGGGCCCTTAATGGAGCATCTGCAAACACTCAAAAGTGTGCAATCATGAAATATTCGTTTTGTTGATGTGTCCCAGGGGTTGTTCTAACAAAAAGCCTATTTATGCGACGTATCATACATGTCTTAATAGGCCGGGCTTTGCTGGGTGATCTGATGGAGTTGTTCTTTGTGCTGATTCTTTCAACCAGCTGTCATTGCCCACCACCGTCTTTGCATATGAAGCAGCAATTACCTGACACTCATTATAAATAAACACTTTTTACAATGAAATGGCTTTCTAAAAATTGAGCATGTATTTGAATTACTTAACTATTAAATCCTTGCCTAGACACGCATATTTACCCATCGTGGTTACAAACTATCTTAAACGCCCGGTAAAGTTAACTGCACATATTAAAAGTATGTTTTCCCAACATTCGGAGATTAGGCGAGATCTCCCAGATTGTCTCCCTGTGGAAGCATTAAATCACCCCCTGTACTGTCAGCTTAAGCCACCATGTAAGGTTAGTAATATTCTCTGAATACAGCATATCTGCTTATACAACATGCCGTATCCTGCCCTACGGAGCTTCCTTATGAAAGGTTGTTTAATAACAACAAAATGGAATGCAGGGGGCGATTGCAGTTTTGTAACCGAGAGCACCACATCTAAAGTAACGTCCTTGCGAGAATACACATGCAGGGGTAACACAATAAAGCCATGAAAGCACACGAAAGCATTTACAAGGACAGATGTACATTATTGCAATTAAAACATTACACGTAATCATGCAAATATAGGAAACAAACACAAGACACCCACACACGGATCCACAAGACCAAAAAAAACCGACTTCAAGAATCGTCCAAATAAACAGGTAAAAAAATAAACGAAATGCTCTCAATAGAAGCCTTAGGCCTCCCCGGTCTCTCACTACCAATGCACGTACACACTGCTATTGCCATTCGAAATTACACTGGACATTGTAACGTACGGAAATGATACTGTGCAGAGCACTACAGTGTTTAAGTGCTCGAACACTGTACAGTAATGCACTGTATTAACCCCCTATTACATTGCAGCGCAGTGCCTTATTGCGAATTGGTTTGAATCTTGTAAATGTTAAACCGCACAAGCACTGTTTACAACATCGCAGACCACCTTCATTCACCCTCACATCACCCCATGCATACGCACCTCAAATACGTCAACACCGTGTGCTCACACCAAACCACACATCCTCAACACCAGTCTCAGTTTATTTATTTTGGTATAGCCCCTGTGAGCCATTCGGCTCCTCACACTAAGCAGACAACGCACATCATCAGGCCAAGCACACGCGGTACAAACACACACACACAAGCTCCACAATACACGCAAATGTATCATGAACACCCTCAGCACGGACACGATACATTATCCCCACATTATACATCACCCACACACCTAGTAACGTTACGTCGTGCAAACCTGACGCATAGACAAAGTCCATAATGAACTCCCTGCACAATCCCACACGTTTGTTGAACTTCCTTCGCACCGCACGTAGCCAACCGTGCAAACCGGGAGATGCAGAGGAAGTACAACTGAACACAAAATGCAGGAATTAGTTTTCATTAAACATTGCAAAAAAATGCTCATAACATGCACACCAACCCTCAAGCCCTGCCACAAGACTTACGCTTCCCCCCCCCCCCCCCGAAAATGCACAGCACACAAATCAAAACACAGGCCGCACAAACTCCTTACAGCCAACAGTACACACACATGCCCCCTGTCTCTCACACACACACCCCCTGCAACATCCAACCCCACACACAACCTCGAGTGAACTCTCTCCACGGGTCTCCTCAGGTAAACAACACACTTACTTACCTTAGTTGCACTCGCATACCAGTCTCACAACACCGCCCTCACTATCTCCCCCTCAACCTTCAAGGTGGCTAGCCTCGAGCCCAAGCGTACTCTTCATGACAACAACAAAAAACAACCCCCTCCCCCCCCCCGTATAGCCTGAACAGAATGTTGGGGGGCAAATAATGTTAACGAGGGGGGCCGGCACTACGCCCGGCCGCCTGTCTCTTTGGGGTTTCGGACGAGCAACACAACACACACAGACAACCCCCCCGAGGTTCACTCTCTCCCCATTGCATTCCTCCCTCTTGAGAGCAGTCTTCCACGAGTCTCAGGTAAACAACAGCCGCCCTCTGCCACCGAGTTGGAGTCGACGTCAACACGGCCCTTGTGCCAGGCTAGGTGCACCGAGGCCACGTACAGTGTCAAGCGCTCGCTGGCTAAGGTCAAGGGACAAGACCCAGGTGTTATGGACGAGTCAGATGAATTGACCCGCAGAGATCACAATCCCTTGTACTCCCCACCACCCCCCACTATGGCGAGATATTTACACACACACATATACCCTGTCAATCACCCTTGATGGATGTGCATGCACGAGTCTGAGATACGCACCACTCACATCTGTTTTTCCTCTCTCTCCTCACACACACACTCCCCTCGATCCATCTCCTCACCCCTTGAGGGACGTCTCCACGAGTTTCAGGTGCACGAACACACATTTATCCTCACACAGACACACACACCCCTGTCCTTCACTATTAATAAGAGGTCTCCAGGAGGCTAAGGTAAACAAACCTCTCCTCACACAACTCTCCTCACACAGCAGCCGCCGTTTGCAACCAAGCGGCGGTGACATCACCAGGACGTTTGTGCCAGGCTAGGTGCACTTTGAGGCCACGATAAGTGCTTACCGCGCAAGGCATGCAAAGGTCACGGTGACAGACCCCGGTTGCCTCGGAATGCCCGAGATGACTTACAAAGAAGCACCACTCCCTTACCCCGCACAACTTTGCTTCGTCCTCACACAACACACGCGCGCACACACACACACAACCCCACCACCCTGTCCCTCACCCTTGAGGGACGTCTCCACGAGCCTCAGGTACGCCTCCCCGCGCTCGTAGTCGTCCCGGGCCATGCGCGCAGCGCGGCCGTTGTGCTGCAGCACGCACTCGTCGAAGCGCACCACGTTGTGGTGGCCCCGCGGCGGCCGCACGCTCTTGAGCGCCCACAGCTCCTGCAGGCCGAGCTCCACGCTCTCGGGGCTGCAGCAGCGGATCCTCTTGACGGCCCTTCGCGCGCCCGTGCCCCGCACCACCGCCTCGTACACCACGCCGAAGCTGCCTCGCCCCAGCTCCCTCAGCAGCTCGTACTTGGGCTCGGCGGCCATGGCTTTATCTTCTCTGGCTACCTCCTTCACCTCCACTTCTGTCTCTCTCTCTCCGCCTCGCCCGCGCTCCCCTCTCCGCCGTGACAATGGCCTGATGCTACTGTGCCCACTGTCTCGTCATTAACACCACCGCCGCCCTTGTTGTTGTTGTTGTAGCTACGACGGTGCTAGCGCCGGCCGCTGCAGTCACGCTCGCCACCATCATCTCCCCCCCGTTCTTTCTGTTTTCAGTTCAAAATGGTGCCCACCTTGTAGCCTTATCTGCATACGCGTAATATCCATGAGGGTGGGCGTGGTTTAGCACGCGCGATTAATTATTCATGAGAAGGCGGGGCTTCGAGGCCGCTTCGTCCTGCCGTTCATGCTGCTGCAGGGAGGCGGGGCTTGCGAGCCACTCGTTAATTATTCACGAGGAGGCGGGGCTACGGCTGTGTTTGTGAAACCCGAGCGGATTAGTTAATGGTTTTGATGGTGAAGTTGAGGTTTTTTTGGGTTAGATCTGGGATTTATGCGTATTTATCTAACACAAAAAAAATATATTATGGATGATATTTGGTTGCGATAGCCTATGTGTTAAACCGAAGTTGGTAATGTTTTGAATGCACAGCTGTCAAACACGTACGGTTTACCCCGTTATTCTTATACGGGGGAAATTGAATTTTCAGGTCCATACGGCGTACAGCCGTTTCAATACGGGCACAAACATTGTATTTGTCTAATTATTTGTGTTTCTCCCTTTTGATGGGACTTTGCACGATGAACGTTGAGATGCATAAGGGGCACCGGGGGTGACCAATGCTTTTGGTCTGTTATTCAGGTAGGGGCACTTACTTAGAGGCATGTGAATGTAAACACTATGAATTGGTTAAATCAAGCCTCACTCTTGCTGATGAGAGACACAATCTCAAAACCTGTCGAGAGCTTTGCTTGCATTGAAACCAATGCTGCTGAACATGATGCAGAAGACTGATGGGATGTGCACAACAACAAAAAAAACTTTATTATTTTACACGGATAGATAGATATGGAGATGGCGTAACTAATTCAATTACGTAATAGCAGACTTTGTTTGCACGCCATTCATTATTCATGAGAAAATAGATGGGCAGACAATGCCTCCTTCATCTAGCGTTTCAAATGAAAACAAAAATATCTTAACACAACCACGGGCCCGATAGGTTGCATAATAAGTTCAGCAGTATTGGGTTAAACGCAAGATATATATATTTTAATCAGTCTTGACTTTCATGCTGTTGCTCGAAACGTATGATTTTTAAGTCTGCACTATTATTTAGTATTATTCCTGAATTATGGGATTTCTGACTAAGTGTATCATCAGCAAGACACGCAAACTCTGAAATGTTTCACCACACAACAGGGCCTTTCTCATCATTCATTGCCCGAATGCTGGCGAAACTGACCGATGTTATGATAGCGAATGACCCCTCTATTTAATACGTGGGTCCAACAGTCGTAATGAAAGCTACATGAAATATAAACTACAAAATAGCCATCGGCAAATATGTGTGTTTGTGTGAGTCGTGTATTATCCTGCAGTGATGGCCTAACGTTATCCACAATACAGAGGGAATCCATGTGTTGTTTTTTGTGGTAAATTTGAGCGCTCAAATAGTAAATGTTGATCATTTACTTTCCAACACAACGGTTAGTGCTGTACTAGTAACGAATTGGCCACGTTTTGTTTACGTGGCAAACCTTACCAATTGCCTGTGGCGGGTTTAATAACGACACATTTCTATTTACGCGATCTAACCCCAAATCCCCCTCCCATCCCCCTCTGTTATGGATAATATTGGTCGCGAAAGTCTAACTTACGTGTTAACACGGAGTAACCTTGTTAATTATTTTTAACAAAGTGGACCAGGGTTTTATCATTGCGCGCGCGGCCCGTTTAAATGATGCATTCAATAATCATATGGCAGCCAGGAGGAGCCAGCGGCCGGGTCTAATTAATTATTCATGAGGGGGCGGGGCGTGGCAAACGACCCCGCCGCCAAAGTTTCTCAATGGAGCGGTTGAAAACTCAGGCCGGCTTTGCTAAATCGCTTTTTTTGTTGTTTTCTGGCCGAGCGCGATTTAGATTGTAATCATCGCCAAGTGAGCTCGATGAAGCATCTCAAAAGTGTTACGTTTTAGTCGTTTAAAAAAATTAACCCATCGCAATGCGTGAAAAACCGGCCCATTTACGTGAGGGGAAATGCGCGGGAAAACGTTCAGCCAATCACGTGGCGGCAAAGGCGGACTGTGACCACCAGCACACTTAAAGGGCAATACTGTATAAAAAATTAGCAACCCCCCCCCCCACCATTCCCGATTTGCGTGTAATTAATTCACAATTGTAATTATATCAATTGGTCAATGCCTCCTTGACGCGACGTTTCTGATTAGGTTCCCATTCAACATAAGAAGTAGTCACGTGACAAGTTATCCGTGGCCACGGCGGTCACGTGACAAGTCATTCGGCCCATTCATAAAAAAAACCCACGTGGCCCCGTGCGCGCTATTTATTTTTAGGATATTATTTAGTTATTTTATACTGGAAGAATCCGATGAGCTATAAAGCTCTTTTTCACAGATGTTCAGTAGGAGCAGGTCAGAACGTTAAAATAACAATCCAAAACACGATAGGAGTGCAAAGTATTGGCAAGGTAAACAAATCACTTAAAAATATATACAAATACAACCAAACTATGTTTTTATCCTACTAGGCATATCCCACCGAGTTATTAGCCTCGTTTTAGAATAGGTGTGCCATATGAACGGACATTCATTGGTAGACCAAGGTAACGTCTTTATGCCAAACTCAAGGAGAGAGCTTGCGAGTTGTCCGGGCAAACGCAGATATTTAATCGCAACTCCATTCTGTCTCGATATAAATGCAAATATAGGTTTAGTCATTAAGCTTGGACCGGTTTCATCACCAGTCAGGCTTGTTATACAAATGCTGCTGTATTAGCAGGTGTTATTGGCAAGAGCACTGCAAACAAACTGTGGGACTATTCAGCGCAAAAACAAACTAGTTCAAATTAGTTTGTGTACCATAACGCGTAGTTATGGTGTTTTTAAAACAGTCTGCGGTCCCGTGAGAGATGCAGCCATCACATTATACTAATTATTTTCTGATATTACGTTGACACTGGTGCACAAGTACAAATATAAAAACTGAACACAATGGTCAAGAACTGCCTTAAAAAATTAAGATCTAGGTTTCGATCTTGATTTGAAGCTTTCGTGACTGCAGGAATCCATACTCTTTGGTTCTTTCGGTAAAGTCACGTAGGTAGAAAAATTAATTAAATAAAACAAAAAATTATATGTTTAACACGTAGGCTTTTGCGACCAATATTATTCATAATAAAGGTTTTTGGGTTAGATCGCGTTATTTATAAATGTGTCGTAACCCTCCACCACCCGACATGGCCAATCAGCAAAATTGCTGAGGTAGAATCAGCAGTAAGACTCCTTCCACATAATGAGGCAGAGATGACAAGACACGAGGTTGCCAAAATAATTGAGAATAGCAAAGTTCCAAAAGTAAATATTAGCTCTAACGAAGCAAAAGCCTAAAGAGAGGTCCTTATAAATAAAGATATCCAAATCCTGGCAGCTGATAAAGGCCGCACTACTGTAGTGATGTCACGAGCCGATTATGAAAATAAAATTAGAAATTTACTAGAGGAAAGTACCTACATTAAAATTAAACGAGATCCAACTAATACTTTAGAACGTAAGACTACTGCAATAATTGCAAAATCATTAATCCCTAAGAATGAGCAATACCAAATTAAGCCAAGGGCCTCAAAACCACATAGACTGTATGGGCTACTAAAGATTCATAAAATCGGCATCCCATTACAACCCATAGTCAGTACAATTGGCTCTGCTACATATAAATTAGCAAAATATATAACTAAACAAATACAGCCCTACATCGGTAGGACGTCTTCATTCATAAGAAATTCAGAACATCTTGTGAATGTGATTAAAGATATTAAACTTAATCCTAATGATATTCTGGTAAGTTTTGATGTGATTCTCTATTCACTAAGGTTCCAGTGAACGAATCGCTTAAATTACTTGTTACACTAGTAAAGAATACAGGTTAACCAAAAGATATTCCACAACTTGCTGACCATTGTTTAAATAACACTTACTTCTTATGGAGAGGGGATTTTTTTAAACAAAAGGAAGGAGCAGCAATGGGCTCTCCTTTATCTCCTGCTATAGCAAATCTGTACATGGAAAACTTTGAAATAAGAGCACTTGCCTCGAGCACCTTAAAACCATATTTTTGGTTTAGATATGTGGATGACACTTTGGTTGTCTGGCCACATGGTATAGATACACTTAATGATTTTCTAAATCATCTCAATGCACAAAACCCGGCCATCCAGTTCACCATGGAAATGGAGGTGAATAACACACTCACGTTCCTAGATATTTTGCTTGGACATGGTCTAAACGGTAAAATAACAGCGTTTACAGAAAGCAAACGCACACTGATGCCTATCTGAATGCAGATTCGCATCATCATCCAGCTCAGAAATCCTCTCTTATCAAGACGCTCGTACATCGGGCTAAAACAGTGTCAGATAGTGAAAGTCTAGTGAGAGAGATCAAACACGTTAAAGAAGCACTACGAAAAAATGGCAACATTAATCCTCAAATTAACAGAGCACTGAATGCCAGAATCATAGTCATGGCGCTGCAATGTGTATGTGAACAATGTATGGGGCAATGTATGGGGCATTGCTTCAATGTATTGTCAATGTGCATGTAAACTCTCTGTGACTAATCATTATAAATCGAATTTTACATTCTTCCAATTGTGCATCTTAGAATTCACTACAATATTGAGGGTTTATTATACGTATTGTATATGTTAATATACCTTTAGACCAACAATGTACAAACAATGAGATCGACCACATAAGAGAGTACAAACGAGGAAAATGAATACATTATTGCCACTAAAAGTCAATTAATCCATCGGTGAATCCATCAGTGAATCGATATTACTTGGCGCGAGGTATAATCAAACTAAGTAAAAGCGTAGGGCTCTAAATAAGTCAAAGGACCCCGTAATCATTAAACAAGTACCACACATCAGCTCGAATTCAGATCCCAATAAAGATAAACAGCCAACAATCGCAAAACGCGAATACGTCTCTCATTTATTTTGTCTCTTTTAACTCACTCTATAATTTCACTACATCTCTTGTCACAGCCGTATCTCCCTTCTCTAATTTCATTTATTTTTCATTTCATTTTTTTTCATTTTCGCTTCTCGGCCTTTTGGCTAAGATCAATGTGTAGTATCTGTTCTTATCAGTTTAATATCTGATACGTACCACATTGTGGTACCTTATATTAAATAGATTTTTGGGACAGGGATATGGAATAGAGACTTCTCTCATCTGACCACATCTATCTGTCTTGCCAAGGCATCTTGTGTCCATCTCACTTCGGAGTTTAAATTCAAAGTGTGCCCCCCCCCACTCATCCCAAAGCAATTCATGCTTCGGTCCCCCCTCAGGGCCAGCTCCACCATTGGTTGCGAGGATCGTCGATTGTTGCACACGTCAAATTTTAACGCAACTAAATGAATATTTCGGGCGACTGGCAATATTAATGAATGTCACTGCAGGCCACCTACACCGTATGTAAAGTGCACCTTGGGTGTGGATGGAATTTCTTGAAAGGGAGATTTTGCAATGTATGATCCTACAGGAGATGGATGGATGATACGCGTACTATTAGACATTAGCCAGGACGTACAGTATTTATGGAAGGTGTGAAAAAACAACCTGTGTAAGTCACAACGTTGTAAGCAACATTGTGCGATGATGGCAGATAATGGCATGCATTACAATCGCAACCAAAGAGACAACATGAAAGAAGGATGAGCTTGGGGCATTAATACACTGGTTCATGACGCATGTAATTACATTAATTCATCCAGGAAAGCTTTGCTTAGTCTCAAGACTCATGTACATTTTTCATTTCGGATTTTGTTGTCCAATTCATCAGAATAATATATATATTTTAAAACACAGTGAATGTCCAAAAATAGAAAGAGTGCAGTCAAAGAGCCTCCCTCCTCAAAGAAGCGATGGGACATCATTGATCTCCATTGGTAGACTCAAGGCAGTGATAGATATTCCACATTTCTATCTCAGAGGCCAATATTAACATAGGACATTAGTAGAAATAACACTATACAAAAGGTGTGCTAACAAACAGCAGGAAGGCATGATGGGAGTCAATCCTTCCTGCTATTTGTGATGGGAGTCAATCCTTCCTGCTGTTTGTGAGCGCAGCATTGCACTTACAATGCTCTCAGCCTTGTCTAGACCACCAGCATAATAGAGCTGAACGTCTCATCGTTTCCATTTGCTTCTAGCCTGCATGCATTTTCCTTTTGTGATGTTTTTTTTAATTATTTACAGGACAACCACTGTTGCTGTACTTCCCACAAAACAGGTCGTGCGGTATTTTTACACGTATCCAATAGCACGTAAAAACTAAAACGTTCCGATTACGGGGTTAATCCAGGCCAATACATGTCACGGTTGTGTAGTAAAGACAGTATTCATGACAGGCAGTGATGCAGTCTGTTTATTTTCTTCCTGGTTAACGCGGCTCGGGGTTTGCGCAACCAGATGCCCATCGGAGATTCAGCGCCATGGAGAGATCCCATGCACGCAAAGTCTTTGAAATGCCATCCGTGCCATTACGTAAGATGCCCTGTGGCAGTTAGATTGCCAAACATATGATCTCCCCGCGTGCATTTTTCAAACATACCAATGTGGCGGTTATTTAAAGGGGGGAAAAAACACTTCCTTCACAGTTTTCCAGAGCAGACATGAGTCGCTTGCATGCATTGTAGACTGATCGTATCAGTTATTCCGACAGAATGCATTCTGCCGTTGGTAATTCCAACTGGCACTTAATGTGTGTACATACTATGACCTCTATCCGATTAACAATTCGCCCGTTACATACGACGGTATACCAATCTAAAACATCCTTTTTTTTTTCAAAACATGCAATTAATTGCACGTATCGTCAGCTTTACGGACTAATACTAAATGATACATATGTGCATCTTTGCACTCCTGACATGCATGTACGCTGTCCACACGATGTGTTCTTATTGCGCTTGTACTGCGGGCACTGCAGATCCGAGGAATGAAACTCGTGAAATTAATTGTGCACTACATTATTTACAACTCCCAAGAACGTAGCATACATACTCCGTTACATTACTTTTGTTGATTCTTTACGATACTCTCACTTGCAATTGCGTTCGACAAATGTCCTTGTTTGTTTACATATTTGGTACAATAGTTACCCTGTGTCTGCGTGATATTTAATGTTTCTGCAGCTTACTGTGGAAATTTGCGTTGTGTTCAATCTGGAGGCAAATATGCCCCAAAGCCGATTTGCGCTGCGGAGAATTGTGCTGTACAATATTTTTTTATTCCTCGTGTGATAGATGCAGCTGTTTTTTGTTTATATTTTTTAGTTTGTTTTGCTTTTGTCATTTTGGGAACACTATGTTGAACTTCTTTCACACCGTACATAACCGACCGTGCTAATCGGAGGCGTCGCTTGCTCAAGATGTTTGACTCGATGCGCTCTCACCTGGTATGAATACATGATAAAAAAATAACATAATTCTAGATCTTCTTTGGTTATTTCGGTAAAGTCACGTAGAATGAGAATAAAATAATAAATTCTAGATTTGAAGCTTTCGTGACTGCAGGGATTCATAAAATAAATGAAAACAACTATATTTAGTTGTTTTCATTTATTTTATTTTACCTACGTGACTTTACCGAAAAAAACCAAAGAGTATAAAAATAACATAGTTTCAATGGACATCTGTGGACAAATTATAGAAAATTACGCGAATAGAGCCGTGCAACCAAAGTGATGTAATTGCAGAAATAAACAAATGCTCACCAGGGGGCGGTTTAACCATAAGCAATGAGTATTTAAATAACTGTACACAATCTGTCACTGGCTTGGGTGTTGACAGTTTTTTTTTGCTGTACAGGCTGCGCATAGCTCTCCGGATGTGTTGCTCCGAACGATGTCACATGTCTCCACGTGCTGACGGCAGCTTCAAGAATTGAATTTCGTCAAGCAGTATCAACCGAATTCCGGTCATCATCATCATCATCTCGATTTAAAGCTTTTGTAACTGCAATGATTCATCTTCTTTGGTTCTTTCGGTAAAGTCACGTAGAATGAGAATAAAATAATAAATTGATAAAATAAAATAACACAATAAGAACCAAAGAAGATGAATCATCATCATCGTTATCGCAGAAACGGCTGTTGGCTTGCCATCAAACAAAGACTTCTTCACATCGTGCTTCTGCGGCTGTCTGCAACGCTCTTCATTCCGATATTAGGAAGCCGCTGGCACTATGCACTTTTAAGTCTGGATTGAAACCTCATTTCTTTAGAACTGCTTTTTGTATTTATTTTTGCGTCCTTCCCCCGCACCTCCGAATAGCACGGTTGGCTACGTACGGTGCGAAAGAAGTTCAACATGCATACGTAAAAGAAGCTCCCAGCACGTAGTACGGATCGTTGGACATCATGCCGAACAACACGTGGTACGACCCGTTATCACAGAGAACGAATGTGTCATCTAAACCTATGGCGCCTATCTATGTGTGAATGCCAGAATTTCACAGCGGCGTATATTAAATTAGCATTTTATATGTAGTTATGAACCTAGTTATTCAGTCCATGTTTATACGCAAGTAAATCTGAAATCCACGTGTAAATTATACCACAAACCATGGGCTGGATTTCACTTCATGCGACTGGAAATGCCATGTTCGAATGTAAGAATTATTGAGGCATCATTCCACAATTGATGTGCTGCGTATGTCTTACTTACTCCTCTTCGCTCCCTGTGGAGCATAATGCCGCAACAAGCCCACGCCATGCCGGACGGTTTTTTATAAACATTTATGCAAATATGTATTTAATATTTGTGTAAATGTTTATGGAATAGGTTCTCAATTTTTTTTTTCGCTCCAGCAACCGGTTCCCCTTCTTTGGCGGCGATGTTAAAATGTGTTCCACCTGGTGCAGGAGACAAAACTGATTTGAAGAAACAGGGACCCACGAGCCTCCTGTCACACGTGTGTGTAGCGTAATAGCGCCGGCTGGTGGACAGCGGCGGAAACTGTGGTGGACAGACAGTAAACACGTCCGGTGAGAGCGTGCACGGGGTGTTGGCAGGGTGGAGGAACTAGGGCAAGGGTCATGGAGGACCCCGCCTGGAGGCCCCTAGAACCTGGTAGCGGGTTCGAGAAGGGAGGTGCTGTCAGGGCGGAGCCAGGCCGTGCTGGGAGCATAAAAGGAGCCGAGAGCGGGGGCTCGAGGCTGCCGGTTCTGGGAGTGGACACGTCTCGTCGTTGCTGTCGTCTCGTCGCCGTCGTCGCTAAACGTCTCCGCTAGATATTGCGCTACAAAGGAGAGCAGTTGGCTATCTCAGTCAGCGCCGTCAGTGTTAGACGGCTAGTGTTGTGTACAGGTTAGGCTAAGGTACTGTGGCGAGTGTGTGGACGAGACCGTGGAAGTTGTTAATAAAGAAGGTGCCTCCTATAAACTCTGTCTCTGAATCGTTGACACTACACGTACACACGTTGCATTGTCCGCATGAATAATAGGGCACCGTATCATGGACAAGCTAAAGAGGTTCACCGACCATGTGAGTAAGCTGAATTTAGAAAATATTTTTCTGCACACCAATCACTTACATATGTAGTCTATTTCCTACACCAACTAGTCTAGTCAACGGTGATCGCACTCGGGATGGTATTTTAACAATACAACCTTTTAATTGATCATGAAAAACGCAAACAGCCACAAGGCACGGCCTCACTCCGACTCACTATAGCTCTGCCTCACTTTCCCAAAACTACGGAGGGGAAAAAAACCCAGCTCCGCCCCTTTGAACATGAAGACAAATGTAAGTTGTCGACACACACTATCAATTTGATTTTAGATAAGACCACTGAACATCAAATACCAGTATGCCTGCTATTAATAGATGATGAAAATGCATTCGACTCAATGGGAAGAGATGCAGTCAACCAAGACGTCACAATTTGAGGCGTAAAAAAAAATCACATATATATACTGTCATGTGATTGTGAGGGGCAAACTCAAAGCCTATCTAGAACATGATTACAATCCAGCAGTTAGTCACAATGTTATACTGTCGTCTCAGAATAATGTACGCACGCCCTTTGTCAAGCCACTGCTGGATGAAGGCCTCCCTTTACCGTGACAGTCCTGGATGCGTCCTTTTTTTTTCCTTCGAGACCACTACGCTAGTCAGCGCAGCTTGGTCAGAGTAAGGAAACCAGGAAGAGTTCGAATATTACCGACCACTGATGTTAGCCGTGGCCGAGAATTAAGCCTCCGATTG